AGTTATTTAATGACATTCTGCTTTGATAGGAGTATATGTTAAATAGTTTTATTCAATTGCATTGTTTTTTACTACATTGGTATAAACAATCCTCACTATAATGACTTTGAGTAGAATGGAGTGAAATTGAATAGAATGGAATGGAATAGAAAAGAATATGAGGTCAATGCAACAGCATACTGTCTGAGTGCATACTTTGCGGTATCCTCGTAATAACCTTATTATTATACATCTTTTCCTCCAATGATACATGATGGGAATGCCGAAATCCAAAAAGCTTAGAACAGAATCAGCGAACTCCTTTGTGTGGAGTCTGGTCAAACCCTGCTGGCAGCCATGTTTGTTTTTATTAATACAGGACGCTTACATGCTTAATCATTCCATATTTGAAATTTGCATTATCTAATATGGTAGGATGAAAATACCCAGTGCAATACCGCAAAATTACGGCACGCTGTAACTTATGTTGTTACACTGACAGATGTATAATAATAGAATAGAATAACTATGTTTTAGCTTTACCCCATGATCGTTTGTCAATGTTTGTTCACAAACATTGGTTCTTGTTAGCTCTTAACACCTTCGTACAATGGGTTACGCTAATCTTGAGCATTCGGTACTATTTGGAGCATGTTCGGAAGCAATAGTTGAACCTCGCATGTAGAATGTTGAAAATAACGTCTAGTTTGAATGCTGTTGTTTCCGGAGATCTTGGCGAACTTTAATGGAAATTTGTCAGATATAAAATTGATTGAAGAAGAACTGATGAAATATCGTGAATTTTGTATTTGTAATGGTAATGAGACTTAATCAATGATTGCTTGTGTCGATTGTATTATTCAATGGTACCATTGTAGGTTTGGCACCCGAAACTGTCAAAATGTTTGACCACCGGACATCGGCGAACACCGTCAGAAAAGATAGTATCGAAAGAAGAGCATGCCTAGACACTTTCTCTGTGATAATATTTGTAGGAGTCCTTAGGAATTGTTGTTGTATGCACTCGGAATCTTGTTATAGTGACAATCGCTAATAATTAAAAAATGTGAAATTTGTGAAGTCAAACGTTCATCTGTTGAATTTCCGGTCGTGAAATACATATTTTGACCTTTCACATCTAAACAAACCCAGTGCGCATGTGTGATGACCGTAGTTTCATAATGTGCATATATTTTATGGGCACATTAAAAATCGGCGAGGTTATATCATACTCTGCTAACTCGTTACTTGTGTAAACAATCGCAAACTATCATCGACATCAAAGATGAGCTAGACAATGTCCTTATCAGGATTAATTTGGGTTGAAACAAAAGGTAATAAACCAGTTAAGAGGCTTAAGTGGCCACTTGATAGGCGTCGTGGCTCCTTCCGTTACTACCTTCCATACTCTGGGTAACCTTCAGACAACTCCTGCACTAAAAAAAGTTTTGGCAGTATGTAATGTATATGTCCTGTGTTACATCACACTGTGGTGATATGCATGTTATAAATGCGATAAGGGTATGACACAGGTTTCATACACATAAATTGACCATGAAATCTTAAGAGAAACATTTCCAGAAATACTAATATAAATGAGTGGGTCTGTGAAAAACCTTATTAGAGTTCATCTTTGGATGTTTTGCTGTACTGTATTTCAATGTACACAATCTGTAATGTCACTAGTTAGAAATAAGTTTTGTTTGATGCAGATGAGATGAAATGAGATCTCTATATTTGAATTTGTTGTGTGAATCTGTCTTGTTTACTAGACATAATATTACATGTGAAATGGAGAAATTCCAGAGAGAAGATCACCAATGTGGAATTTGTTTCGATACAAGGACAGGAAGTGAATTCTATCGTCTCGGTAACTGCACACACCATTTTTGTCATGAATGTTTAGCGGCATACTGTACAACACATGTATCAGAAGGAACTGTTCAGTTATTAGTGTAAGTAATTTCATCATTGCTGTTTAAACTTGTGACGGCGCCCTCAGTAGTCAAAAGTGTAAATTTTAAACCATACACAGAATAATATTATTTTTTAGTTTGATTGACATTGTAAATATGTTCCATAACTTTTTACCAGTGTGAAACCATTGTGTTTTAAATGTCAGAGTTGTAAATTCATAGTCTGACCAGATAAGCTGATAAAATTACTGTAAAAACATAATCTGATGTTTTGAGCATATTCAGCATATGAAACCCAGTGATTAATTATTGCATTTACAGTAATATAATTTATTGTATTCCTTAAGTTTGGAGGAGTATACAGCTGTGAACAGCAACACTGTGTGGTCAAGTGTAATTGAACTTTGACCTTACATGAAAAAAGTCTATGACTGAAATATACCATAGTTACTGGTAGATATTTTCTGTTTCCAGGTGTCCTGATTCAGATTGCAAAAATCCGCTACCCCCTGCATTAGTGAGAGATGTGTTGACTAAAGAGCAGTATGAAAGATGGGAAAAGCTGAGTCTTCAGGTAAGTAACCATTCAAATAGATTATTCAAAGAAGTCTGCCTTTGTTGATATGCGAGTGTACTGTTAATTTCAATGTGTACCAAGAGTAATAACGACATTGACAATTAGCTTCTGAGGTTAATATTGACTATTGCCCTCTCTATTGTCTTTGCAGAAAGCATTTGATGCCATAGATGATATTGACTATTGCCCTCTTTATTATCTTTGCAGGAAGCACTTGATGCCATAGATGATATTGACTATTGCCCTCTTTATTGTCTTTGCAGAAAACGCTTGATGTCATGGATGATATTGACTATTGCCCTCTCTATTGTCTTTGCAGGAAGCATTTGATGCCATAGATGATATTGACTATTGCCCTCTTCATTGTCTTTGCAGGAAGCATTTGATGCCATGGATGATATTGAATATTGCCCTCTCTATTGTCTTTGCAGAAAACACTTGATGCCATGGATGATATTGAATATTGCCTTTTTTATTGTTTTTGCAAAAAATACTTGATGCCATGGATGATATTGAATATTACCCTCTTCATTGTCTTTGCAGGAAGCATTTGATGCCATGGATGATATTGAATATTGCCCTCTCTATTGTCTTTGCAGAAAACACTTGATGCCATGGATGATATTGAATATTGCCTTCTTTATTGTTTTTGCAAAAAATACTTGATGCCATGGATGATATTGAATATTGCCCTCTCTATTGTCTTTGCAGAAAACACTTGATGCTACAGATGATATTGACTATTGCCCTCTTTATAGTCTTTGCAGAAAACACCTGATGCCATGGATGACATTGACTATTGCCTTCTTTATTGTTTTGGCAAAAAATACTTGATGCTATAGATGATATTGAATATTGCCCTCTATATTGTCTTTGCAGAAAAAAACATTTGATGCCATAGATGACATTGACTATTGCCTTCTTTATTGTTTTTGCAGAAAATACTTGATGCTATAGATGATATTGACTATTGCCCTCTCTATTGTCTTT